ACCTATTTTTTTGTACCGTTTTTTTGCTCTCCTGTAAAAAATTAGAAATAATGGAGTTAGCAGTTTATCACATTTCACCAACGATATATATCATGACGTTTCGACCATATCTTGATCTTTTTCATTATGAATCTTCTACTAGTTCCATCCTGAACGTAGATTTGTACTTTTTGTTAAAACTTAATCCTAATCTTTAAAAGTCAATAACACATGCATACACGGAAAACAGTATATATGTGTAGTATACAGGTATACTATGTTTTCTGTGTGTGCATGTGTTATTGACTTAATTAAATTTGCTTAAAATACATAAATGTATTATACGTTATTAATATTTAGAATTTAAAATAGTGCGCGGGCAGGTGACAGCGTTCAGCGATGAAGCAGACGAATTACATCGTTTTATTTGGCGCGTTCGCACGAAAATCCTGTTGAACTAAAAGGACAGACTTATGCAAGATTAATATTCCTATTTCCTTTCTTTGGTTTCACTTTCCACTTATTGTATAAATGCGGTACTAGCAATAGAGTCTTATAATATATTTGTACCATACAGTATTATACATTAGATTTACCTATAGAATGGCTGACATCACAGGTAGATGTAGAACTTCCCATTGGAGCTGTAACTGTATCATCAGAACAAGCTTGAGTGGGCGAATCCCGAGTTTTTGGTTTCATTGACGACTCAAAAGGAGCCAAAAATTGTGTAGTCTCATTTGCAAAAGCTCTATAAAAAATCGTCAGCTGTTAATTTACCGATTGGTAAATATTTTTTTTTATTCAAAAGAGTCAGAATAAACAAAATATATCAGTGTTCTGTAAACACGCAACCAGAATCTAATCTAAGATAAAAATATAAACAATTAGGGAAGCTGCAATAATTGCAAATATGTTATAATACTTTAGTTGAAAATAACTTGTCGCTTATAAATCTATTCAAAGCAAATTTAATGTGTGTCATAATAAACTACCTTTAAATATACCTACTTGTTGAAAGCTGTAGTGTCACTCATATTGCGTCTGTGGCCCTTTGGGATACTCAGAGATGGACTAGATGGAGGTGTATTAGTACTACCCATAACAGCAATTGACTCTGTTAAACCACTTTTCAACAACGGGCTCGTCTATTAATCATAAAGAAATATATTAAGCAAAAAATCAGCGATTTAGTATTGTAAAATAATGCAATACTACTATTTCTTATTTTTATATTTATATACCATATGATTTCACACACCAATTCTAACTTTAGGTAAATACTTTCTGTCTTTAGTACATTATATTTTGTAATTTTTTTTTTGGATGTCCTCTGTAGAAATCTTGGATTAAAACAGACTTTGTGTTTGGTAAATAAACATATTATTGTTAAATCCACTTGAGCAAAAAATATAACAACATTCTATTTAAAAAAAACTATCCTCAAATGAGGGAATGAAAGGCGCAATTATAGTCTTATATTAATATTTTTTTACAAAATTAGCGGGTACTAGTTTCAACCAAATGTATGTCTCATCATCAGGACACTAAGACCATAAAGTCATTAACCATCGACTATGAAATTGTCCAAGGCATGATTATTTAAATTATTTCTTCCTATGTGGAACTCAGATAAATTCTAATTAACTGTTGTGGTGTCACTCATTATTAGTAATTTTACAAAATAAAATTCAAGCCATTTTATAGTAAGATTTTTTCTTTATATTTTAGGTTTTGGTTTTACAGCGACCATGGTACTAACTATAGAGCCTGTCTCTAACGTGACCCTGTTTTAATGCCATGTTAATGTCAACATATCATCAACTAAACAAATTAGTTAATTCATATTAGGGGTGATATATGTTTAACATTATTCTAGCAACACTATTTTTGTTTTCCTATATTAACTTTCATTTTCTGGTAATTGTTAAATTAATAAATATAAATATTTGTTATTTTATTATACAAATAACCTCAATAAGTTAACCTTTAGTCATTTTCGTAATATTTTGTTGATGTAAGAAAGCAAGAATTTATAACTCAACTTGCCAAACAAAATTTATTAAAAATTAACACATTTCTCAGTAAAGGGTTTCTGAGAAACTTCTCGAAAATACTTGATTTTAAATTAAAACAAAATTGTAAATGTTTGTTTAAGTGTTATTAAGTTAGAAAAAAAGAACATATTCTTAATTATTTCTGAATTTATATAAAAAATATTTTTTTTAAATTTCACACCCATATTTTTGGCACATTTCTCCGAAAATTTCTTATTAAACTTTAATGAAATCAACCCCCTATTATCACAATTTCTAAACTTGTCAATAAAAGAGTATTCTATTCAGATTATATTTGGAATCACAAGAAATTATTGCTAAAGCAATTTTTGGACGCGCTCTTTGTTATCGGAATTTTATTCTAATCATCATCAGCTGTAGTTTATTTCATATTAATTTTCATGTTTTAAGTCTAAATTTTAATGCTATTCAGTAAGTACTACACAATAAAAAGTAAATATTATTTTTAAATAGCCTTGCGTATGACATCTCTCATCTTTATATCTCGCAAAACTATCAAGAAATACTATTATTTATGGAATAACCATATACAATACCATATGCCCCAATGAGAAAAATCATCTATTAAGTATCATGCTTTTATGGTGGACAAAGGGAAAGAAAACAGATAAAAGAAACAAGTTTAGATTGGAAAGTGCCCACAAGGACAATGTTTTTGACAGTTTCGGAGCGGTTCGGCTTTTTCCGGAATTATGTCGCCAACATGCCAAATATTATTTATTCAAATTTATTATTATTTTTCTTTAATTTTTTAAATAAAATACAGTGTGTTGCATATAAGAAACTTTATTTTATATAAGGACATGTATGAAATGTCTATGAAACATTGGACACCAACGTTATGCCACGATCCACGATGGTTTTTGCATTTCACACTTCACACAGCTTTTTAAGTTTTTCATGCCACTTTTTCACGATTATCAGGGGTTTGAGAAAATAAAATTTAAACGGACAAGATAACTCACAAGAAGAAACTCACAAGATTAGAATTTAGAATGAGTGGGAGGGGGGTTAATAACTGCGACCTTACAGATCTATTGTGTCCCCCTTTCTTGAGTTATAACTCATCATACAGTCTCAGGGCTTTGACAAAAAAAACACAAGATAATAATTACTTTGAAAATGGACGCTTTAAACACTTTGCGGTATTTTTTCAATGATTAAATTTTAAAAGATTTTATAATTTTTTAATATTCTGATGTTGACAAGAGAAAATTATTTCTGTTCTTGATTGGCGGTTGTTCTTAGCAACAACTATAGCCGCGCCCTACAACGTATACGGGAAATTAAAACAACTTTCGTTGCACGTCAACAGTGACACCATGCGTCGTCTTATGGAGTTTGCTGGTGATCGTATTATGATGTGCAACAAAAGCTATTTTAATTTCCCTTATATACTTGTTTCCTTTATCTATGAACGATAATTATTATCTTTGTGTATAGAAAAGTGGCCATCAAAGAGTGTACAATTAAGATGGCGCTGCTGTAGCAAAAGTTCTACATTTGAAAGAAAGCGCCAAGAATTGTTAAAGCTGTAAACAATTAAAAAGAGATAAATCTGGAATTTGTGAAGGCGCGTGATGCCACTCTCTTTCGACAAACTTCACTTTGGTTATCATCAGTTCAAACTCTTATTGCATACGCTTACTGCAGTATACACGGGCCACTGCCGGCTGAGATCACATCTACAGAGGATGGGACTGGTGGAAGACGCCGAATGCCGACTCTGTATGGAAGATGACGAAACAATGAAGCACGTTCTGTGTACCTGCCCCGCTGGGGGCAGGATCAGGTTTGAGGTGTTTGGCAAACCTACACTAGACCTATCCGACATATCACCCTCGGACATAACGGCCTATGTTAAAAGGCTGGGTCTTGAGGGTGAACTTTAATGCTCTTTTTCTATTAAAGAGCTTGTAGAAACTGAGCCACAATAGGCACTGGCGGCCTCTGGGACCCTCTCTTAGTAAATACAATACAAAATACAAAGTTATTTTAATTTCCCTTATAAACTTGTTTCCTTTATCTATGAACGATAATTATTATCTTTGTGTATAGAAAAGTGGCCATCAAAGAGTGTACAATTAAGATGGCGCTGCTGTAGCAAAAGTTCTACATTTGAAAGAAAGTGCCAAGAATTGTTAAAGCTGTAAATAATTAAAAAGAGATAAATCTGGAATTTGTGAAGGCGCGTGATGCCATTCTCTTTCGACAAACTTCACTTTGGTTATCATCAGTTCAAACTCTTATTGCTTTTTAGCGCTGCCCTGGCCATTTTTTGAACCTCTATTGTTCCCTTTCTGAGTGACCACTTTTTCAAACAAAGTCCCATATGAGATGATTGTCCTTATCTCTACCCTGTATACTTTAAAAAACATATACTTCTTTCGGGCAACGGCCCCACTGCGTAGAAACACCGGTTTCCGTTAGATCACCGAAGTTAAGCGACGCAAGGCTATATACTGGATGGACGGGTGACCGTCTGGAAACTTTGTCGTGCTGTTGTTACATGACAAGAGTATAAAAATCTATTGACACACACTGCTCATTCACGCCGGTTTGAGATCGGATGAGATCGGATATCTCGTGAGTAAGAGTCGATTTAGACACTCGCAAAGTGGGTAGGCCATTGACCATGATATGGCCGAGGACCGCGGTTCGGAATCCGCGTAAACAAAAAAGACCCTGTCCAGATTAGCCCTGGCAGCAAAAAGGAGACGTTAACTAATTTACTTTTAAATACTTGGCATACCTATGTATTATAATAAAATTCTATTTATTCTGATTATACTAAACTTACCCCATGTCCCAAATTTCCAGATCCAAACAATGGATTATCACTAGAAGTAGGCGTCACAATATTTATACCCATCCCTCCGACTTGCATTGGAAAACTCTCGCCACCTTTATTCCCATTAGTGTCAGAGGCGGTGGGAGATGCACCTCCATGATCATCTCGGAAAGGATCTGGATACATGGAAGACTGAAACAAGGAATCAAGCTGTTGGGGAGGTAGTTCTGAACCTGCTTGCGACTGTGGTGAAAAATAATCACTAGGACCGAAATCGGGAAAAGCAGGAGAATTGGAAAAGGTGCTAGGAACATTACCTGGGGGCGGTGCTGCTTGAAAGGGAACTGGGTTCGATTGGGTATTAGGACTCTGGGAATTTTGTGACTTCTTTGATGATCCAGGACTAGAACTAATATTTAAGGGAATGCTATTCAGGTTAAGGGGTGCGGTAGCGGTTGCTTTAGGTCGTTGACGAGGCATCACGCTAGTGCTTTCAACTATAGGGCCCGTAGGAATAATCTTGGAACTTTGTTGTTTTATTTGATTTGCTTTTTTCTGTTCAGACTCGAATTGAGGTGTAGGTAATTCTTCTAAATTTGGTGTAGTTGTTTTCTACAAGTTGTTCAATTAAAAATTCAGAAAATAACTTCTAGAATTAACATACCATAAGATTTTTTACAGGATTTTGCTTTCCGAGTAACTGGAAAGCAACACAGCTTACTTGATATATGTCAGGTCGCGTTTCTGGTTCTGGTTCCAGCATATACCCTTAAAAAGGACAAATAAATGTATTAAACGTCAACAAAATAAGCAAAGTTATGCCTTATTTAAAAAATATACAGCGTGATTCAAACATATTTTCAAACTAAAGTTGTATATTATAAATTTAATAACATATTTTTCCATATATATCCGGGTGCATAGCGTCCTACACCTTCTGTACCCAGTTGCCAGCCTTTCCTATTTTCCCAATTCCCTGGATGAAAATTCTTTTCTGGCATAGCTTTATGTACTCCTCCAATCCATGTTGCTTTTGGCCTTCATTTCTTTTTCCTTTCTGATGGTATCCATTTCAGGACTTTCTTAGGTATTCGGTCCTCTCTCATTCTTTCTATATGCCCATACCATAACAACTGTATTTCATCTATTATCGTTTGCTGGACCTGCATACTTTCCCTTATCTTTTTGTTCGGTATTTTTTCCAATCTTGATTTCCCCGCAAATCTTCCCTAGAAGTCCATCTTGAGTGTTAATAGTCCATAGTTCCATTACATTAGTGAGCTGCCATGTTTCACCATTCATACAAAACTATACTTAAAAATCTTATACTATAATCTAAATACTTAAAGATGAAATTATAAATAGTATGTTTTCTCTCATATAAGATATGTTTGGACCATAATACTGGGGTGCCTAAAACCCCATGACTTTTTTACCTTTCAGTATTCTTTTAAAGAAAGATTTTTCGAAATCTTTTGAAACTTTGCTTTGTTTATATTTTTATATAATTATAACCTACATATGTATATATGTTATCATATTAAATGTTTATTTTATTATTTTCGCGGTAGCTTTAAGGGTTAGCAATTTTTAAATTATCTTATTATGGTTTGGTAGAGTAGCCAAAGCTAGACTGCACCATTTCAGCCAATTCATTTATCATTTCTGGATAATATTGTTAATATTTAGTATTTTTGTAACAATTTGTATTTTTTTTGAATTGGAAATAAACTCGTTATTATTATTATTATTATATACTATCTGGTAAATATATGATTGAACATTTTAATCTGACTAATTAAAATCAAACTCACGAATCAGTTGATGTAAACCTCTGGAATATTGTGAGTTATCTGGAATGCAGAAATTGCCACTCTGAATAGCTAAAGTACTCTCTCCAAATGGCAATGTAAAAAAACATAATCGATATAACAGGCAGCCTAATGCCTAAAATAATTAAATATATGTTTATTAAATTTTAAGGCGGTAAACTTACACAACAATAAACTTTACCCATATATCAGCTTTAGTTGAAATTGGTTTTCCTGAATACATATCAACCATTTCAGGTGAACGGTAACTTAATGTAGTATATCTTTTAATTTCCTCTTCAACTATAGCTACTCCTTTTTCTGAAGGATTCAACACTCTAGCAGTTGATGATCCAAAATCACACAGTATATAGTTACCATTTTCTCCAACTAATATATTTTCTACCTATAATTAATATAGTAGTAAATTAATACCTATGTGTAATACTTCTGTCATAAGGTAGACGTTAGATATTTCTATATGACAATTTTCAATATACCTGCTTCTAGTAAATTTGACAATTATATAATTTAGTACTCAAAATTATTTGTGTATTATTAAAGTTCTAATTATGCAGTCAAAATTGCCAGTTAGAGTAAACAAAAGGCATATATTAGAAAAGAGAGAGTGTCAGTGTGCTAAATTATTTGAATCAATGCTCAAAGATCCTAGCGATGGCATTTGTAGCTTTTGTTTACAGAAAGGTACAATTTTCTTACATATATTATTGATATAGTTTAGACCTGATCTATAATTAGTTCCAGTAAACCAATATAAAAAGAAAAGCACAACAAAACCAACCAAAGGAAATTTGATTGAAACTCTGTTTAAAAATCAACAAAATTCAATTGTGGAAATTAAACAAATACTTTTATGTATCAATTCAACTTTGGAAGCTATACTAATAATATTAAAGGAGAGAAAAGAAGAATTATATCATAAGCTCAAAGAGAACAATGTAAAATTGAAAACATCAACTAGTTGCCACAAACAAGATAATCGCAAAAGTAGTAATCAATTGGTAAAAACACAACCCTATAGATGGCCAGATATATCAAGGTAAAAGTAACTATTTCTAAAATTAAGCAAAATATAGCTTTATTTTTAGATTATATAGTGAGCCCCCCTTGTGGATTAATAATTGCGTGGGAAGGTTTATTACTAGGCCAAATACAGAAGAAAGAAAAATTTTATTATATCCTCTAGATAACAATATATTATATATTAACAAGCCATTTTCCTGCCCAAATATAGGATATTTCCAAAATATGAAGAATCTATATGCAAGAAAAATTAGTATGTCAATGTATTCTATTCCTATATTTACTATAAAAGGCCGGCACCCAGAAAGGAAGCAACACTATGAAACCCAAAATAAAGAAATTATTAAATTAAAATAATATATAATCATTAATTGTATTTAAAATGTTAATAAATAACTTAATAAATATAGTAAAAACAATAAATATAGTATAGTACAAATTTTCTTTTTATATGTAACTAAGACATATTTAGAAGGTAAAAGATTATTAGTGATATTATACATAAATTACATTAACACAAATCTAAATGCAAACAAGTTACTTTAGAATAAGGCTAAATACCTACATGTTTATTACACTCAAGACTTTACCTTTAAATCTCTATGAATAATTGGTGTTTTACAATGGTGCAATCTTGACACTGCCTCACATATATCACAGAAAATAGATAAAACTTCAGTTTCCGTAAAGTTTGGTTTTCCACGAGCTTTCATAAGTCCAAACACATTTTCGGCACAATAAGGCATCAACAGTAGCACTTCATAAACTCCACCTCCAGTTGCCACTACACTCGAATCTATGTATCCTATTATATTCTTATGACCATTAAGGCTGCTCTATAATATACAAGTATTAATCATAAACTCTGAAAATAATAATCTCAAGAAAATATTCTTACTGTAATTTGAATTTCACGTTTTGCAACATTAAGATCTTGTTCATTGTTAACATACATTCTTTTAAGAGCATATTTTGTTCCATTGTTACTTCTTACAAGATAAACAATTGCAAATCCACCTAAATTTCAAAAAGTTTATTTATATTATGTATACGGGTTATTTAGTGCCAATTTGTTCTAAACTCTATGCATAGACTATGATATATGTATGACATTAAATGACACTTTAACCCAAATATCCACCCCTTTTTCCAAAAATATCTGAATTACTTACCTTCGGCTAAAATATCCTCAACTGTGACCGTTTGTCTACCAACGGTAAATACTTTTCCTACAAATGAACTTGTTTCTTTGGAGGTATTGTCATAATTTTTTTCAATTTTGGAAAATAACTTTTTCATATTGATGAGTTGAATAAAAGTTCATAGATATTTACTTGAATAAAAATTGATTGTACTTTTCACACCGCTGTATATAACCGTTTTAACATTTTTATTTTTAAGAAAATATATGTAAAAAAATAAAATCATTAATTAATATCTCCCCGTCAAGCATTCTAAATGTGACGTTTAGATTTTTTGACAATCAAGTGACACTAAAATAATTTACGTCACTTATGTGTGACATAAGCCAGACATAAGCTCTTCTTCTTCTTCACATGGTGTTCACATACGCAAGGGGCAGCCAAATGACGTAGATGTCATTGAGCCAGCCAGATATTAAACCCATATACGTATATGATTAAACCATACAAAATATATGATTAATAAAAATTGACTGTTGCTCATGGATGGTATGGTATTTTAAGCTTTCCACCGCTGCGCCAAAGATTAAAATTATCAATTTGGCTGCGGTTGACCCTGGGTTGACCCAAGGGTTGACCCAACGGTTGACCTTTGCGCCAGCTCAGTTTGCAGTTTGCCCTTTTTGCTTTTTGTAAGTTTTCCATTCTGGACTCTGGACATTTTTCTCTATTTATCTATACTTGTCTATACCTGTTCTGTGGTCTATACTTACTATACTTGTGTAGATATTCCCTGATATTCCAAACCTGTGTTCCAAACTTGATTCCAAGCAGCAAACATAATCAATAATCAGTTTTGTCTGTGTTTGTCTGATTGTAAACAAAATACACAAGAACATAGAATGTCCATATATGAAGTTAAATAGTTTTAATATCGGTAAATACAACGTTTCGGATGAGTTTAGTTTTATACATAGAAGATAAGTGTATTAATTATTGATTCAAAATGCAACATAACAAAGTTAACACTGTTGACATTTTGGGTAAGTAATTTCCCTTTACATAATTTTTTTTATAAAGTTTCACACTAAATTTCTGGTTTATTTAAGTAAGATATGGGTGTATTGTGTAATTTTATTTTTATTTAAGGTTCTCATGCCTTTGGGTCCACTTCTCATCATGATAGTGAAATAAATATGAGTGGTTCAGGTTCTATATCCAGGGAACATAGCGAAGAACGACGTTTTAGAGAGGTTGAAAGGATAGTTTTAACTGAAAAAGATCGCAGGGAACCTGAAATATCTCTATCCCTATCCTTAAATGATTCTGATTCTAATATGTCTGGATCACAGGAGGTGCTCCAGATAAATAATGCAGATCCTAACATGTATATGATGGGTAAGATTGTTATATCTGGTAGTACGTATTATAAATATTTTCCACATACCTTCTTCTATTAGTTATATCGTTATATGTGTTTGTGTATCTTTAAAGTTTTCAATAACATATTACCTTTTGAAAGTAAGAAATACCCCTCTAAATCAATATAAAACTCTAAACATTTTTTTTAAAGAATATACTTAAAATATATTATGTATAAGAAATACCAAATACCTACCTATTTTTATTTGTCAGTTGAATAATGTTGATTAATTTTTAATGTTATTGTGTTTTCCATTAGGCATTTTAAAGTGTGTATTTTATTTGGAAATATTTTACATAACTGATTATTTGAAGCAAATAAAACTCATTTTTTCCATATGATCAAAATATTAATTATGTGAACAAAAATGGTTTCAATCAAACACTAATTATTTAATCTTTTATTACACTAATATTGTTAGTTCCATAAAAATTATTAATTTATAAAAATAATGGTATTCTATTTGAGAAAGCAGACTTGAGGTCAAGAGTGAAGACATTAATATGATCATTAAGACTATTTTTGAATGAATGAAACTAAAAAAACATAATATAAAAAATGAGAAAAATAAATCAGACATACTTAAAACAATGAATAGGTTCATGAGAATTAAATAGATGAATTTGCATGTATTATTTAAATTAAAGAGTTTGGAGTTTTACATTTTTGTTCCATCTACAAAAATAATTCATCAAATATCTTTTATAAAAGATCTTTGAGAAAGAAATTTTATAGTGTAATAACAGCCTTAATACTAAGGCCAGTATAGCGGTCCTCCTCAGGTAAAGTTTTTCAAAATTTGGTTTTGTAATATGAACCATATTTTTATATTTTTAATTTCATTCTTTAGGTAGTATGGATAGTGTAATGATGAATATGTTCATGAATCCTATTATGGGTATGAACAATTATATTGTGCCACCGATGATTACATCAAATGATTCTTCAATAATACTAAATAGCGCAAAGGAAATTATTCATTGTAAATCATGTACTTTGTTTCCTCCTAATCCACATGCACCTGCCCCAACAACTCGCGAACGCCCTCAAGGTTGTAGAACAGTTTTTGTTGGAGGTTTACCAGAAAAAATATGTGAAGAAATTTTACATGAAATATTTGAAAGGTCATATTGATAGCTTTTGCTGTATGCATATTTTATCTTTCATTATATTTTACAGATGTGGCGAAATATCAACCTTAAGATTAAGTAAGAAGAATTTCTGCCACATAAGATTTGTTTTTGAAGCATCAGTAGATGCTGCTATATTTTTGTCAGGTTATCGAGTAAGAATTGGTTCAAATATTGATGCAGGAAATACAGGAAGATTGCACGTTGATTATGCACAAGTAAAAAAGTAATTTATTTTAAATTCAGGGTTTATGTAATTTTTATTTAGGCTAGAGATGACCAATATGAATGGGAATGTAGACAAAGACAGTTACAAAGAGAACAAAGACACAGGGAAAGAATGGAAGAAGAGAGATTGAAGAGATCTTCACCTCCGCCTGTAATACATTACACAGATCATGAGGCTAGCAATGTGGCTGAAAAAATTAAGCAAGATGACACATTTACCAAAGCAGTTCAGGTTTGTTTTGTTTTATATCTTGTGATTAAACAAAATGAATAATATTATTTTTCCAGATTGTTATTACATGGTTAGAAAGGGGAGATTGCAACAAGAAAAATGCCAATAACTTTTACTCAATGATTCAATCAACAAATTCCCATATTAGACGGTTATTAAATGAGAAATCTCATTATGAAGAAGAACTGAAAAAAGCCAAAGACTTACTTAGAGGTAGAATGCAGGGCATACTACTGCAATGTAAGTATTTCTTACTTTCAAATAATTTAACTCTGAGGACTAAGGAACAGTATAAAAATTAAATGAAAATAAGTATGTCTTTTGTGATATTAGAATGAACAGATTTAATAAAAGGGGGCAAGTAGCAATTCTACATCTTGAGGTTGAGAATTTCAGGTACCTACAAAATATTAATAAACCTTGGAACTAAATATATTTTTAATGTTGGTTTCAAAAAACAAAAAAAGGTAATTTAACAATTTAGGTGCATCATTTGGGCAATGTTTGGATGATATCATCGGATTAATGAAAGGTGAGTTAGATCCATAAAGACATACATATTTTCAATTTATATAAAACTCTTCCGAGTATAGACAATTTTATTCTTGTATTAAGATTAAGGTAATGTCTTTTGTATTTTAAAATAAAAATTACATTATTTGATAAAACAATAATACATACTAAGAAAACTATTTGCTTTGAACTTTTTATAAGCATATACTGTTCATACACAAAATAATTTTTAATCAATGTTACATTTACAAGTCCTGAAATAGTACATACCATGGTGTGTCAGAGAATATAAATGTCGGCGTCATTCCCTGAAATGCCTAATCGTGTCACGAATAATTGCCGGCAAACACTAGATCTCAGGCATTCCCTGTATATGACTGAAACACCGTAATTATTAGATCATTTCCGTTACTCTCTTTGCCGGTTTTATTTATACGTCTATTCAGTGCATTTTTGTGGAAATAAACATGTCACAACATTTAAACTTACAGAATTGTATAGGCTTTCACGGCGGGTATTATGAATAGTATAGATTTTGTGGGCTGTGGTTAAGGATAGTTTTCTCCATAGCTTTCGGCTGCAACTGCGGTAGTCTACATCAGTGCTGTAGCGGTCAAGACCTAAGTGAACGGCTGGACTGGTACTGCAGATAACAGACCTACTAGTACTGATACAGAGGAGAGGGGTTGCGTGCCTTTTATATCATATTATATCTTCAAATATCACTCGCATCACCTAGAAAGCAATATAAAAAAACATGTAATGCGTGGTTTGTATGTTGAAGCCCTCTTCTTTTCTGTTAATATTGCTCTTATGTTTGTGGATTTCAATTGCTTCACGATGTAGTCTGGCAAAGCAGTAATTCTCAGGAGCGCCTAAATTAAGCACGCTCCAACGTTGCCATTTATACAAATATTCGACGATCGTTTCGCACCAGTAATAACACGGCTGTCGATGTTGCTAAATTTCATCTACATCCCCTGAAAGTTAACAATGAATGAAAACAAACAAACAGTTTTAAACCGATATAATCAAAACTGGATGCTGGTTTCAACCTTTTTGTTTGTTTTCTTTTGTGTTTCCCTAAATGCCAACGTCGGAGCTTGCTTAATTAGGGGCTCCTATGATTCCCTGTTAAAAGAACTTCCGTATTGTCGAAAAGAATTGTATGGTCTTCCTGTATTATTGTATGTTCGGTCAGGGCTGATTTTTCTGTTTGTTCAAGACGGTAAGATCTTTTATACTCAGCCAAACGAGTATTGAAGCTGTGTTTTGTAATACCAACATATACTTAACCACAAGAACATGGGATTCTATAAACCCCATTGGACGAATGTGGATCTCGTGGGTCTTTGGCCGAGGGGAGATGTTCTTGAATTTTTCTTGTGGGTTTGAGGATCGGTTTTATGCTATTTTTTAGTTCCAATGCGGTCAGTGACACTGATATATGAGAGACCTGCGACTTCATTTTGGAGATGGAAGCTACCCTTGACCACGGCCTAACAGCCCGCAAAACCGATGTTATTCATTTAAACTTATTTTACAAGAAACTAAACGGATATTATTTAAGGTAAGTAAATTCTATGTTTTCAAACATAACTCCAAATGTGCAATCTGTGCAACACTACAAACTCGCTTCCAATTGATACACTGTTGTCAGATATGGCTTAAAATATACTATATTATAATTTGAATTTTTGCGGAATGCTGGCTATGGACAGGGTAATTCCCAAATTTGGACAGCCTACTGAATTTATTATTAGAGATAGAAAAAACCTTGATGAAATGAAACTTGTGCCAATATAACGATTTAAGACTATTTTATTGTTGCTATCATTGAATTTATTTTATACTTTTGTTTTTAGTTCTCAGCTTGTAATTTTTTATGAATTGTATAGTTTTTATTTGTTGTACGCTTGTTTATACTTCCGTACAAACCGTCTTTGATAATAAGACATTTTTGTAAAAAAAATATATACTAAAATATTACCTCCAATTTTAAAATATCCAATATTCTGTTACAAAAAATTCCGATATCTAGAAATCTTTTGATGTATTTTTTATCTTAAATATCCTAATTACAGAAAATAACTTACTTTGATGCACTAAAAGGCAGCGCTATTTTGGCTAGACATTGTAAAACTTAAATAGTTTAGTTAATTATGTATGGCATCCACAGTCATTGTACCAATTGAAGAGTTAAACTATTTGGCGGCAATACGTCAATTGACTAGGCATTTCCGGGAATGACAAATTTCACTTTTTGACGCCGATATTTATGTCATATTTTTTATATATTTAAAGCGATAATGTAATTTTTTTCTTAAAATGATTGTAACATAATATGAATATTCAATTTGAACGTGCCTGTTAGTCAGTCACATTGAGAGATTATTCACGGCGGCTCACCACAAGAAGGTTTGGGACCATTTCACTAAAGCGCAGAGAAAGAATATCGAAGCTTGGAACAAGCAGTCGTTGGTATGTACCCCTTGGACTAACAAACATCAAGTAACATTATTGTGTGGGTACAGTATACATTTTTATTAAGAATTTAAACTTATAAAGTAGTTAGTTTTATTACTAGTTGTCATTTATATCCTTTTTGATCCACCACACAGTATTGTCACAGTATTGTTAACTCTTTTGAGTTTAAATTTAAAAACCAAAGTCCAAGGATCTTGCATGTTCTAGTATAGTTTATTGTTTACTTCATGAACATACATAAACTAATTTTGAATAGCCCAGATACATTATAGTTGTAAAAAAGGTAAGACTTACACAGGTAAGTTATATGGAAGTCAGAAAAGTAAGTCAGACATACAAGACGAATAGGAACAGCTTTCTTTAGTATGTTGTAATACTAAATCTAAGGACTGAATATACAGTACATTTTTATGAAAGGGATTTGATGAGTATATTTTCATTTTGTGTTTGAAAATTGTGGGTATTGGTTGGTTTTCATTTATAAAATGATGGGTGTTCATTATCCAGGATTTAAATCGTAAAAACCTAAAAGATGCAGGTAAATTATATTATTTTGTATATAGGACGGACAGAAGGTATTTTAGAGCTCAGTAGGTATATTTAGGGCTAGACATTGTTATGGTCTTTAATTCAGTTTCATGTAAAACTTAACACATTTCAAAAAATTGTAAGTCAGAAGTAAGATATTATATAGCTTATACAATAAAAAAAAGTAGAAAAAAGACTCGGTCTCAACGTATATATAATGTTAAACTGCTCTTAGCGTTAGGAATTAACTGAATGACAAACTATGGAGGGTAGGGGGAAGGAGAAACATCTATTAAAACACTAGTTGTTTTAATATGTGTTGTTTTAATATGTAGAATGTGAACGTGTGTTTGGATTAATTTTAATTGTATTTGTCTGATGATGCTCGTATGAGCGAAACACGTGTAACAGTTTAACATTATATGAACGTTAAGACCCAGACTTTGAGTCTTTTTTCAACTTTTTTTAATTTAAACCAGGTCTCTTTGAGAAGAATGGACGCCTTCTTTAAATAGCATATATTAGGTGTCTAATTGATGTAATTCGGATGTAACTTTGAATATCGAAAAAAAATATTGTCGTTTCAAAGTCATGGCTACTCCTCTGGCCCCGCCTATATAAATCTTAGAAGGTTAGATGAAATACCGTTGTGTACTAGTACGACGTCGCGTCGTATATATGGCAAAATATAGTTCTTTTATGTACTGCTAAGTATGGAGTTGTCTTTATTCTGTGCGTCAGGAGTTTAAGAACAGCGTTCCGTCATTTAGGTATACAATCAAGACTCGAATTAAAAATTCGTTAGTTCCGGTTCCTGAAGAGCTATAGTTTTTATCATTCTGGTTGACTTTAGGATTGGCAAATTTCTCAAGATAATATTTAATAATGGTGTTTTTTTATAAGCTTTTATTTAACTTGCTTTGTATGTAACTATCTATGTATGTATGTTTGTTTGGGGCAAATCTTGTAAGCTAAATTAGAACCACTTCCTTTTATTTTAGGAAATTGAAATTTGGCATGTAGGTTCAGTCCCGATGACAATACATTTTTTTGCAAGGCATGACCCGAATTTTGGACAGCTGTCAAAATGGCGGCCAAAATGGCGGCATTTTTGAGGTTTTTGATTTTTTTAAATTCCATTTATGAATGGATCGGGCTGAAATTATATATAGGTATATTGTGGGTATATACATATCAAAAAAATATATGGGCGGCCATCTTGAAAAAATGACAGTTTAATGACATGTCAAAATTTCAAAGTCAACCGATTTTGATAAAAATCTATATATAGGATGGCCATGGGCTAAAATGAAGGGAAAAAAATTGAGCTGTCAAATTTGACAGCTGTCAAAAAAATTTCAAAGTTATCCGATTTTGATAAAAATCGATATGTAGGATGGCCATGGACTAAAATGAAAGAAAAAAATTGAGCTGTTAAATTTGACATCTGTCAAAAGAATTTCAAAGTTGTCCGATTTTGATAAAAAAAATGTTTTTAAAAAATCAATGTATTGGATGTCCAGATTTGAACTGTCAAATTTGACAGCTGTCGTTTTTTTTAAGTTCTCTTATTATGAAAATCGATATACATATTAGGATGCCCATAAGAAGTTATTTAAGAAAAAAATTGAAGTGTGGCACTGAGAAACCAGCATACATAACTAAAAATTAGAAAATAAATTTTAGAAAAAAACTTTTTTAAAAACAAGCTTTTATTTAATAATACACTCAAAAGAAAAAAATAAACTTTTTCTTTAAAGCTTTTATTATGAACTTATAACTTCATTACACAATTTTAATATTATATAAAAGCTTGTCGCGGGATTTCTCTACATCGATAAACAAGTAAATTAACTAAAACCTGTATCTACCCTGTTTCATTTTCAAAGTTTGTGTTATGATAGACCACTAGACCAGGAATTACAACATAAAGTTGTCGTACCAGATTTTTATGAGTGCAACTGTACACCCAAATCTCGCGACAAGCTTTTATATAATATTTAAAATTATTGTGTGATGACGTTATCAGTTCATAATAAAAGTTTAAAGAAAAAGTTAATTTTTTTCTTTTGAGTGTATTATTAAATAAGTTTGTTTTTAAAAAAGTTTTTTTCTAAAATTTATTTGAACTTACAGTTTATATCTTCCTCCCCATAGTAATATGTTGCCTTTAGGTTTGTTATTTGGAATGTAGAGCTTAGGAGAAATATCTTCGTGTATTGAAAAGTGGTCATAAAAAATGGAAGACTTAAGATGGCGCTGCTCTAGCAAAAGTTCTACATTTGAAAGAAACCAAAAATTTTTAGAACGGGAAATAATTAAAAGAGATTGATAAATATATGCGATTTCTGAAGACGCGTGTTGCGTTTCACTAACTTCACTTTATTTATAACCGCTATGTTCACTTCGATGAATTATTGTTTTTTAGCCGCCACGGTGGTCATTTAGTGAACTCTTATTCTTTCCATTTTGGTGACCACTTTTTCAAATAAAGTCCCATAAGAGATGTTTTTCCTTCCCTCTACCCTCCATAGTTTGTACTCAGTTAATTTCTAACGCTGCAAATGAGAGATGGAAGCGTGTGAATTGCTCATTCAATTTAAGTTAAAGGGGTGATTGTCTCGCTCAAGGAAAGCAAAAACTTTCGTTGTGCCACTTCGTTTACGCGTCCTTTGGCCTACCACACTCTGTCTCCATTATAGATATATATGGGTTGTTATTTTTTATCTAATTTTTTCTTGGCTTTAAGGTCAGGTAAAAAAAGAGAAAAACGTTTGGTTTGGCGTTTGGCATTGAAGTTTCAATCTGGGAAGGTCTTTAGGAAAATTTATTACTTGAAAGTAAATTTCAGCGCATTGTTTCAGTTTTTGGCTTTATCTTTATTGTTTTCCTTTTATAATTTTATCCATTTTCATTCTTAGTGAAGAAAATAATCCAATATTGATAATCCAACACACATAACACAAAACATCTCGATATCGAGTCGTCACATTTTTGTAAAGAGACGCACTTTTATTCGAATACTTCGTTGAGAATCGAATGCAGGATGCACGCCAGAATCGAATACTTATCGATTATTTATATTCAAATAGTTCCTCCATTAATTTAACACTAGAGGTACAGGTATAAGCTTCATTCAGAACATCGCAATTGGTGGAATAAATTAGTGGTAGCAATTAGCGTAGAAGTTTGTTCCTTTAATTTCAATGTAAGTATTCAGAACGTCAAAATTAGTGGTAAATATTTTCAGTTTGTAGAAAGTTATCAAATTTTTAACTTTTCCGCTAATTATAATTGGCGAGAAATGTAATTTTGGCCTTTGATTATCTTCTGTCAAGAGAAATTGTGGTTAGAAATAAAAAAGTGGATTGTTTTATAAGTTAAATATTATGCTTTTCTAAGGATTCAACTCACTAACCCAAGCTGTTGCTAGGATATTATATTTTAACTGTGTTTTTAAACATTGTGAATGATCGTAAACTAAAAAGTATAAAGTGTAAACCACTAATTTATTCCACTAATTGCGAGGTTCTGAATGAAGCTATATTGATAACTCCATACTTAGGGTTATGTTGGGTTATGCGGCGTTGTATCAACCTATTTTATACTTGTATACAACGGCCTCTCACATAACTTTTGGAATAATAGAAAAATTCCTATAATGCGAACAGCCTTTATATATTTATATATATTTTAAGATAAAAATGTCTATAGAATTTAGTAAAATGAAGGTCATTATAATTATCTCAAATATAGCGATGGCGTGTTCTGAAATTAGTTCCTTTAAACATATGCATCTCTTCGCATATTTTTGAAGATGTTATTGTCTTTAAGTAAAAATATCTTTGGAACAATATTACAAAGAAACCAATAGATGCCAACGGCTGAAATTAAGGTATAATATCAACACACAACCTTTTTTCCTAAATATTCATTTATTTTTTAATTCAGATTTGGATACTCAGGTACAGGTAGGTTTAAGGGATTACATTTGATTTAAACCAAGGTAGTTATTTTTGTGTAGTGGTAAGTTTCCACCATAACATCCTAATGCCTTTTATAAACTTGTACTGTATATTACAAATGTAAACATCATGTTTGATTGGTTAACTGTATGATTCACTATCAAGTTCAGTATGTAGAGACTATTTCCCAAGATCTGGTATGTATTGTAGGAAATAAAGAATTACCAACTGGAAGATCTGCATGAAAAACAGACAGATGACGATGAAATGGAGGTGTCTGACGACGACGAACCGGTTAAGAAAAAATCTCGGGATGTTTCAACTGACGAACGCAACAAGTTAAAAGACGAAAATGACAGTCTGAAGTGCCAAGTAGAAGCCTATAAGAATGAGGTAATAGATTTAATAGAATATCTGTGTAACTTGATACTCATAATACGTTATAGTATTAATTAATTTAAACAAAACACACTGTTTAATTTGTCGCAAAAATAAAAGTTGAATAATAAACAGAAAAGTAATTTAAAATGATATTAAATTAGATTAGATCAGATCAGATTTTTAATTGATTAAGATTGGCAAAAAAAAAGTTTTTTAATTTCACTCAAAATGAGTTATTTGGGTCATAAATGACCTAAATACAAAATATTTTCATGGTGTCTGTCTGTTCGTCTGTAACACGATAACTCAAAAACCGCTGAATCGATTTTAACCAAATTTGGCACCAAAATACTGTGGCACCCGAGAATCTGGCCATTAGTTTTTGGTGGGGGTGGGGGGTTGGTAAGGGGGTATGGGAGGCGGTTAAAAAACTCCAAAATTACAGTAGCTAGCGAAACGCGGTTTTCAATTTAAGATTAGGAATAATATTTGCAACAAAATTTGTAATAACATCAAAATCAGTCAAAGTCGCAGTTTTTGAGATATTCCGTGTTTCCGTAGTCCGTTTTTGAGAAAATCCGTGTGGAGAACTCCACACCGGACGCGACCCCTGGTGGCGGATAGGGGAAATAACCGCGGACCAAAATTGGAAAAATTCCTTTACTTTGAAACTTAATGAACTGCCTGCCAACTTTTTATTAACATATCTTAGTATGGGTGGCTATATAGGTGCCTCCCGGCGCCAATTGTTTTATGTGGCTATTGGCTATTTCACCGCGACCTTTTCAGACCTACTGTGGTCCTCTTCTGATCTCTATGTTACATTCTCTGTAGCGTAGGTGGTAGGTTTTTTGAGGTTAGAAAAGATATCAGACATGCTAGCTCAATTCTGATGCGGTGTATTGAATTTATCAGGCCCATTTACATTAGGCTTACAAAGTGTATACACATAAGATTTTTTTAAAAATTTTTCCTACTACATTTTCCTGAATTTTTACAGATTTTCGCCAATTTTTTGGGGTTAGAAAAAAAATGAGATGTGATAGCGTAATTCTGATAGCAGATTCGTCCTCAGCGTCGAAAAATACTATAGGATATGATGGTCTGGTAAAAAGCATAGACTACTTTTTTATTTTGTGTGGCTGTGTAATCGAACATTTGACATAAAATGTGCTCTGTATTTCTGTTCTTATGATTGGCAAATTCTGTACATGGTTTCTTTGGTCAATCCCAGCAGTTTTGATACCATTAAGTTTGAATTCTCTGTCAGTAGACTCAATACAATTTTGACAGTCTTCCTGTCTTTGCCTTTCAGGTGTACCATGAAACTTACTTTATGCATTATATTCCAGTAGAAAATATTTACAGTAACACTTTTGCTTTATTATGAAACAATATAAAGAAATATTCGCTGGGTAGTATAAGAAATATTTGATGGTAGGTAGCTTATGTGAATTAACTGTATTTTAGGTTGAAGTTCTTAAAATGGATTACAAAAAAGACTTAGAAGATAAAGAAAAACAATTCAAGATGCTCCAACAAACACTTCAAGGTATGCAACAGCAACTCATGGATGCCAAAAAGAAACAACTTGAAGAAGAGCAAAAAGTAAAAGAGTTGGAATCCAAACTGAAACCGAATAAATCTGCTAAAATGTCAGATAAATCTGCTAAACTATCAGATAGATCTGCTAAATTAACAGGTAAATCTGCTAAAATATCCGAGGTTATCACACTTGATGACGATGACTTTGAACAATCAGATATCGACAGTGTATCTGAACTTGCCAGTCAGGCAGACACTAATATTATGTCAGATTGCGACGCTAAACTCGTTGGTATTATATCGACTTTTCTTAATGTGCACCCTTTTGGTGCTAGTTTAGATTACATTTGGTCATATGTCAGTAAAGTTGAGCCTAATCTGAGACCTTCAGATATTGAATCTCTAATGACTCGTTTTCCGGCAGTATTTAAACAGGAATTAGCCGGAATAGGTGCAAATATCGAAAGGAAATGGATCTTTAACGCTTTTAATATGGCACCTAAAATAAGTAGTTCAAGTAGATCAAGCGAAATTATGACTAAGTAGATTTAAGTAGATGTTATTTTATATATACAAAAATTTGTATAGAGTTTATGAATGAATAAAGCATATCTGCTTATTCCGATTTTGCGTTTTTATTAATCTTAGAAAATGTAAATCTTCTTTTTAACAAAAATCTTTTGTAAATCTGATTTTACTTTTTCCAGTCTGGAATTATTTACATTTAAATAAAACCAGATCTTTCCTTTCCCCATCACTTTATTTTAGCAGATAAAGCAAAATGGTCCAAACAAAAAAAAATGTATTATGTGTAGTACCCCTTATCTAAGCAGAATTTTGTAAAAATTCCATTTTCTTATTTGTCATAGCAGTTGCGCCCTCTAGCGGCGATTCTACAAACTTGAAAATCGTTTCCAGCAATTGAACTCTATAAGTATTGCTTACCGTAGGCTCTACGGCTAATACTTTCCGAGATACAGCCGAGAGATATCCTTAGTGGAAGACCCTGTATATAAAAGAAAATCTACATTATTTAGTAGCCTAGGTTAGTAGGGCACGAAAATATTCATAATTACAAAACAAGAGCAAGAAACTGTATTGCACTAATTTATTGGCGACTGAAAAGATGTGGATATAGTATCAGACTGGACCTTACTTTTGCCCCATAAAATTTTAAAATACTTTGCCAGCACAATTTAAATGTGTTTATCCGACTTTTTTCACAAAATTTTATAGTACGGAGTAGAGATGAGCAGAAAATCGCAAACTGCGATTTAATCGCAGCGATTGTAAATTCGCAATCGCAACCTGTGATTCCTTTCCATAGCAAACTGCGACTTGCGATTGAAACATATATCTGCCGATTTTGGATTTTTAGGCAACCAATATTACACCAGTTGCGATTTGCAATCGCAGTGGGCACGCGAACGAAGAGCTGCGAACGAAAATCACAGCATTGCGATTTTCGTTCGCACCGGCGTTGCATCGACACGGCACTGAGAAGCCGAACGATGAGCTGCGAATGAAAATCGCAATATTGCGGTTCCCGTACGCCCCGGCCGACGGCGGCGTGTCTTCAACACGGCAGTGGACAGGCGAACGAGGAGCTGAACGAAAATCGCAGCTCATCCCAGCATTGCGATTTTCGTTGGCACCGGCGCGGCATCGGGAGTGGGCACGCCAACCAAGAGCGGCGATTGCGATTTTCGTTCGCAGCTCCCAACACATCGGCCTATACTAGATCGCAAAATCACATTCGCAATCAGGGCCCCGTAATTTTTATGAAGCGTTGGAAAATAGGCTTATACCGACCTGGTCATTTGATTACTGTGTATAGGATTTTAACGTGTAAGACAGAGAATAATATAAATGACCGGTTGACAGACAGAGAGACAGCATCAAAAGGGGCCGGCGAGAAGCCGGTGCGACCGATACAGTGTTGCCCGTTTTTACGGGTGTGGGCAAGTAAAGCATAAGCATGGTGGGAGAACGCATTGAGAGGGGCGGTGCTTTATGTTAAGGTTCGTATTCACTATCCGAAAGAACAAAGGAATGAAATTCGGTATATTTGGACAGCAAACCGAATGCATGCGGCCGTTCGCCATTCGGTTCGCTCCCTCATCTGTTTCCATTCGGTATATCAAAGACGTTCGCAAACGAATGAGAATTATAGAACCGCGCGAACAAGACTGGACGTTCGCTCGTTGGATAGTAGCATTCGTTCGTTCGGATAGTGAATACGCACCTTTATGTAGATGAAAAGGTGGGGAAAGGAAATAGATCACCTGAGATCCAAACTATTTTTGCATCATTCTTTTCGCCTAGCTGTTTCGGTGTGTACGTTAAGTGTTTCAAAAATGGCTATTTATACGACCGAAGAGAAGGTGCATATCGTTAAATGGTTTTACATTTCCTCAAGTGTGGAAGAGGTCATTGGGCGTTATGTGTTCACCTTTCAAGATCGCCCTGTGCCTTATGCCACAACTGTACGCAACATTGTTCATAAATTTGAGCAAACAGGCTGCATTGCGGCGTGCAGAAATTGTGACAATAAGGAAGGCGCAGAGAAGGTAATTCCCGACAAGGAAATTAATATTTGTGCCGCTGTCGAAACAAGCGAACCTTGTTCAAGCCGAAATATAGCCGAACAAGTTGGTTGCAATGCTCGAACGGTGCGCAGAGTTTTAAAAAGGCATGGATATAAGTCCTACAAAATCAGTACCACGCAAGAAATTTTTCCCGCAGATTGTAACAGACGTCTGGAGTTTTGCGAGGCTGTAAGAGAAAGAGCCGACGGAATAATTTATTTTTGGAAAATATATTATTCTCAGATGAAAGCTCGTTTCCCTTACATGGCTACCACAATCCTTCGATAGTACGTTATTGGTCTCGAGAAAATAAGCACCTTAGTATGGCACTGCGGACACAATATCCACAAAAACTAAATGTTTGGGCTGGCATGCTGCAAAATCATATCATTGGGCCTTTTTTTATTGATGGTATGTTAACAGCTGCCAAATATTTGGATATGCTACAAAACCAAATTGTACCAGCAGTTCGAAATTTGCCAATCAATTTTGAGGAAGTGTGGTTTCAGCAGGATGGCTGTCCTGCGCATAACGCGCGGAACGTAAATCTGTTCCTTCAAACCACATTTCCCAATCGGCTAATTTCCACACAAGGCACAATTAATTGGCCACCACGTTCTCCTGATTTGTCGCCCAATGACTTCTTTCTGTGGGGATATGTAAAAAACTCCATTTATGGCCATAACCATGAACGACCCATGAATATTGACGAGCTGCGATTAAAAATCGTTCAGTCGTTAGAAAATATCCCCGCTGTTATGTTAGCTAAAGTTAGGTCAGAGTTTTATAACCGTCTTGGCTATTGCGAAGCACAACAGGGAGGTATTTTTGAACCTTTGATTTAATTTTTTATAATTATTTTGCTAATTGTCCTTTTTTAAAGTTGATTTTTAGTCATTTTTTTAATGCTTGTTTTAACTTATGCTGAAACAGCAACAAAAACATGAGCAGTATAGATACAACCGGACGTTTAATTATTTTTATTGTTAAAAGATTAAACGTCTCGAGATGTATGGATAACCTTCAAAAACGTAAATATATTGTAGAATGATGTACACCCAACCCGTTTCAAAATCCGACTGATTTGATTTCTGTCTACCGTTCTAGGACTTCGATACTGTCAGTGTTGCCAGATGAAGTTTTGAAAATTTCCTGAAGCCTGGTTGGCACGGTCAATCAACCAACAAAAAATATTCTTTTAAAATATTTATCTGATGATACTTTTAGAAATGCCAAGTTTGAGAAAACAATTAAATACACACACTAAATTGTGTCCAAAAATATGCTTTCTAAAAGGTATTTCCTGGATAGAAACCTTAATGTTAGGGAATATTTCCTAGACCTGGCATCTACGGCCATATTCTCTCCCACCACTTGATTTGTCTCACCCCGCCTCTCGAAATGTGGAACTCTTCGCACGTGTCGCCACCAAACCAAACCAAACTCTTCAGTCATAGGCGTACTAATATTTTATTTTCATTTAGATTTAGTATTACAGCCAATTTTAGTTTAAAAGTTTTGCTTATGAATTCTGTAAAATTTAATTTATTAGAATTTTAATAATAATCTTTTTATGACAGCTGACAATGTTTAAGATGCAAACAGTGGAACAACGCCTTCACCACGCTGCTTCTTAAGCCCCGTACATACTCAATAATAAAAAACTCATCGACATGATCAAAAAAAGTTTTATGATCAAGCGGGTTTTGTATCATAAATAAAAAACAGATAAACAATTTTTATGTAAAACGATCTTTAAAATTAACATTATAAACATTATGTAACTTTAAGTGGCATCGTTTTTATGATTCTAATTGTGCTACACTTTAAGGGGTGTGAAATAAATTACTTATTTATAATAATACTGAATTTATGCGGGGTGGTATAACTAGTGTTATAACGGTTGTAGCTATAGTATTACGGGCAACCAACGGTCCAGCTACGTCGAAACACCGGTTCCCATTAGAACACCGAAGTTAAGCGACGTAAGGCGATACTAGTGGATAGACGGGTGACCAGTTCGAAACTCTGTATCGTGCTGTTGTCCAATAAAGGCAAAAGTGTAAAATATTTTGACACACACTGCTCATTCACGCCGGTTCAAGGCCGGATGAGATCGGATATCTCGTGAGTAAGAGTCGATTTAGACACTTGCTCGGTCATTGACCGAGGACCGCTGTTCGGATTCCGCGTAAACAAAGTAGGCCCCGTCCAAATTAGCCCTGGCAGCAAAAAGGAGATGTTAACTTCAAATCTTTTACTTTACTTTATAGTATTACATTATAACATTATCATGTCATAATATTATGAAATAATATTTCCTACTACCAATTTTTTTAATATTGGTACAGCAAACTTATCAGTATAAAGTTTTACTTATCTTTATCCTTTTTATTGCTATTTATAATTCTGAATACGAGGATAAGAAATTTTAGTTTTCAGTACGCCTATGACCGAAAGCGAACGTCTACCTCCCGCTTCATCAGCGGCCATAATTGGATGGAATCAGGGATGAGTAAATATAAAGGACCATAAAATTAATAAATTTTGCTGGTCTGCTGCAACACGTAAGAAATATTTATTGATGGATCAGTATGACAGAGAAGTAATAAAAAGGCCGTTTTTATGAATAACAAAATGGTATTTGAACATCATAATATAATCATATTGAATTGACAATAGATTAATTTATCAGCTATCCGCAGAAAATTGACAATAATAATAAAAACATGACACATGGCAATTAATATAATTCCAAATTAAAAATGGATAAGAGTTTTCATTCATAATAGTAATACAGATATATTTCAAAGAACTTTACTTAAAATTAAGTTTTTTAATTTTGTACTAGTTTATAGCACTTGGTGGTATAACTTGACAAAATAATATCAATCATTAAATAAAGCATAAACGAACCAATAAATAAACAAAAAGGTTAATTTATTTAATAAAACGTACAACGTACGGCTTTGTATGCCGATTGTCGTGTGTATGAAGAATAAAGTCAACGTTTGTTCAGTACAATACGATATACTGAAAGAGAAAAGACTATAAAATACGGGAGAAAAATGAGAAGTTTATTACCTATCCACTTAATCCGGATCGGTCGACAATAGAATTTGTGATATTTACAACATTATGTAATTAATTGATTATCGGTCCTATTATGTAACTGAGGATGTACGTAACTAAGTAATAGAGCATATTTTTTGGTTAGTTTATTTAATGAAGCGTACACACGGCTTTGGTTGCTGATTCTCGTGTGTCAACGTGTTCAATACAATACGATATATTGAGAGAGATGCTGATGCACTATTACGTAGACACGTACATCCTTAGTTGTATAATAAGACAGATAATCTATTAATTCCAAAACGTACTAAAAGCGCAAATTCTGTTGTTGAACAATGTAATCAGTATGATTACAGATTAAATAATTATGGAGGTGCATATGAAACATTAAACGATTCATCATTGTGTTAAGTTATACCACGTAATTTAACAAAAGATCAATCATTTAATGTCTCACTTCACACTGGCTCACTCCATTATTATTTAATACTGATTAGAATGGTCGACAATAGAATTTGCAATCCATTTACTACGTAATACAGCATATTTTTTGGTTAGTTTATTTAATGATATAACTGATAATGTACACACGGCTTTGGGTGCCGATTGTAGTGCACAGAGTCTATAGACTCTGTGATTGTATAAATGAACAAAGAGAAAAGAGCAAGAATTTTCCCAAGCGTATGAAGTTGAGCTCCGGATTAAGTGGATAGATAATAATTTTCTCTCCCCGACTTACAAGATTGCCATAGCGATTCACTTCTAGACATGTAGGTAAATGATGACTAAAATAAACGACCCAAGATTTTCTCTTGCCGACCAGTATATTATCGTAGTCTTAAAGAAATTAGAATAAAATAAACTATGTTAAAAATCTTCATGTATACTACAGAAATGAAGATAATATATCTAAGCTAAATGTAATCTATTACAATTGTAGTAAAATGAGTAACTAATTGTCGAAAATCCAGATCCAACCCTAGATGCGACATTTTTTTGAAACGTCTACTTATGCGGTTTGAAATTTTGATGCAAAATCTGGCAATACCGCTCAGAAGAAATGTACCCACCCATACCCACCCAACTTTTTTCTCTTTTTAATACATTTGATTTGCCATTAAGCTGCCTACATCACTGTCTTACACGTTAAAATCCTATACACAGAGTTGACCTGTCCCGATGTGTATATATATATATATATATATATATATATATATATATATATATATATATATATATATATATATATATATATATATATATATATATATATATATATATATATATATATATATATATATATATATATATATATATTATATATATATATATATATATATGTTTATATACCGCATAATATATATAATTTATTAGTTTTAAATTTTGATAATAGTTTTATATTTATAATATAATTATGGATTGAGAAGGTTAAAGAATTCTTTTTTTCGGTTATGACTAATTATAGTTACAGTTGCTCCCAGGTAATGATTCATGTAAAATGATTCACACAGTTCTGGATTCAAATTATAAAAAATTATCTATTTTTATCCTTTATTTACTAGAAGATATAGAGCACGGAAAAGAAACAGCCCTTTTTATTTATTATATTTTGTTATATATTATATTATTATAAACATTTTTATAACAATCCATAATATAATATAATTTTCTGAATATACTAACAGTTGTGGATCGGCTGCTATGTTAATTTAAATACATCCTTTACAATCAGTTTTTTTCATTTTAAAGAAATTTCAAATATAATAAAATGTGATATTGTCCTTTTATTTATCTAAAAGTTCGAAAGTTTGCACTTGCACTGGACGGGCCGTATCAAAGCCGTCGGCGTCGGCTTCTTTTGAGTTACATATAAAGAAAATGTTTTTAAAAGAAAACAAGGTAAAATAAACAGTTTTTTTTCTAGTTATCTGAATTAAGGTTGGCGGCAACCTTTTTTATAATAAATTTTTCGTTAGTATACCTACTGTCTAAAAGCACATTCGAATATTTTGAACATTTTATGTATTTTTAATTTCCCTTTTAAATTTATTCGGTCTGTTCTAAACAAAAATGTTTAAAAAAAGGAAACTAAGTTATCTGTGGATTTTTTTTGGTAGGTAATTGATGAAAATTTTAAGTGCAATATGTGTGCAGCAAAAATATCATAAAAAACACGCACTACAAATTTTAAAAGGCACATGGCATCGAAACACCCAACAGTTTCTTTGTAAGTTTTTATTAAAAAAAAAAATTATTCCGCTATTTATTCTGTTTTTTATTAGAAATTTTGGGATTGAGCTTCCCAGTTTACAGCGTACCAATTTAAAAATATCCAAATCGCAATCGCAGGTTACAGTCGCAGCGATTTATAAATCACAATCGCAGTTTCAACTGCGATTGGAAAATCGCAGTTTTGCTCATCTCTAGTACGGAGTACATTAATTGTATGTATTATCATGTATTTTATATTTTTTTTTCGGCGTATTTAACTTTCTATGTGATATAATGAATAAATGATCATTAAAATTATAAGATCTCACTATTGCAACTATGGAAATAAAGTAAAAATATTTTAAGTTAACGTCTCCTTTTTGCTGCTAAGGCGAATCTGGACGGAGCCTACTTTGTTTATGCGGAACCCGAACTGCAGTTCTCGGCTATATTATTAATGGCTTACCGACTTGGCGAGTGTCTAAATCGGCTCTTACTCACGACATATCCGATCTCATCCGGCCTCGAACCGGCGTGAATTAGCAGTGTGTCTCAATAGATTTTACACTCATGCCATGGCACGACACGACGTTTCCAGACGGTCACCCTTCCATCCACTATTTTTAGTCCTGCATAGAGCAGCAAAGCTGTTTTCTTTAAATAATAGATAATAATTATCTATTATTATCTCAATTATTGACCAGTTCTAGAAGGGAATATAAGGAAAAAAATAATTTTCTAATGATAAATAAATGATTTATTATAACAAGGACTACAACAAGCAGAGGCTATATTTAATAGTTAACTTTCAAAACGAAATTATTTTTAAGACTACGCTTTCTTTTTTCCTTTCTTTCCTTTTTCCTTGGTCGGTTCTGGAGTGCCTGCATTTTTATCAGTTTCGGGTGTTGGGGGCGGAGGAGACGTAGCCGTCGCTTCGTCTTGCACGTCCGTAACGGACCCTGTTGTTTCAATATCCTGTTCTTGTTCTTCGACAGGTTTCATGGCTCTCTTTTCTAAGATAGAAACAATAAAAAAAATAATTGTAGCACAGTAAAAATGGTTCTCCAAGAGAATATAAATATACGATCTTCAAAAAGAGCATACAAAAATGTATTACTTTTCAATTAATATCATTGAAGGGTGTCCTTACTACTTACTTTTCATTAATATCACATACAGGGTGTCCCAGAAATAAGTGCAAGTATTTTAACTGGTAGTATAGTTCAACCCCAGCAACACGCCTATGAGGTTTTTTTCGCGAAAAAAAAATTAAAAATTCGGAATTTTTTGAAAATTTTTTTTAGTTTTTATTTAAAAAACATAATTTCTTGATAATATGGCAACATAGGTAGTAGATTAAATTTACAAGAAAGAAAATCCAGAAAAGATCCAGTGGTTCTCAAAATTTTAGCAAAAAATCACATTTTTTTTGGAAATTTTCAAAGTATATTGAAAACATATTATTGGAAATAAATTAGTTAAATTGGAAATAATATGTTTCTTTTATCGAGATCTACCAGCCCTGAAAATATTTGCACTTATTTAAGACTCATCCTGTATAAATGTCACTTAACTTCAGTGATCGATTGGATATCAGTGTTTTAGATGTAAGTATCTAGGTCTTTGTCCTTCTGACGAATGGATAAGAAAAAAATAATAAGAGTTTAAAGAATGATTACCAAGTGTAAGAAGGCCATAAGAGGTAATTTTGCAGATTGGAAGAAATTATCGAAAAGGATGACTACACAATGTTATTTCTTCAAAATTCATTTTTCAATTTTATATTTGAAGATGAGGGTCTAAATGAATCAACGAGTAAAATCAATCAGAATTTTGACAGATAGTTCATTCACTTTTATTATTACCTACATACATAGTTTTAAATGGCTCTTCCTAATAAGACCACATTCAGATGGAACAAAAGACACATACAACAGTGGTAGAGATAGATTGGCTAAGTAGACAGCCAGTGTTAATTTTACTGGCAACACACAACTGAAAATGGACTAGGGAAACTTTGCAATAACCCACATATGTGTATATTGCACATACCAGTGGTTGTCTATGAACGATTAGATTAAACTTAGTCTGCTGACAATATTTAACCACGCTTATTAAAAAAAGTTAAAAATATCGTTACAAAATAGATAAAACATATTTCAGTTAATGGTTTCTCAAGTGTACCTTTCTCAAATGTCTCGTAAAAGTCGGCTTCGGCCTGCTGAACCAAATTATCATTAAATACATGTTCCGAAACGGCAGATATATTCTCTTGTATTTGTTCTTCATCTAAAACATCGGTTTGCTGCGGCTGTTTCGTTTTCTGTTTCAGACGTAGTTCTCGATTACGCGCTTCCAATATCTTCTCGCGGCGACTTTCCCTTTCAAACATCTGAAACCAATATTGGTGATTAGATACAAGACATTTTTATAAGAAATGCAACAAAAGATAGTAATAATAGCGTTAACTGGGAAGGGCTTCTTATTAGTATTTAGTAAAACACGCTTTTAGATATTTTACGTTTAATGAGAGTAAATGTTAACGACAACCCAGTAATAATAGTACTGAGTTTGTTGTTGGTTCTTTGCCAGGTATTTTTAGGGGTGGTTTATATTTTGATCGGAAGAACACTCTCAAGTCTATGAAATTTTTTCGTGAAAACATATTAAATTTTTTTATATTTTTCGATTTTTTATAAAAAATTTTAATTTTCAGTTAAAAAACGTAATATTTTAATATGGCAATATAGGAAGTAAATTAAATTTAGGAACTAAAACACAGAAAAAATCCAGTGGTTCTCAAAATTTAAGCAAAATATATATTATTTTACCTCTTCATAATATTCTAGATAACGAAAGCAGAAGTCTAGATTTGGTAACAGCATTATTTAACAAATTATATAGCTCAAGCAAAATACCGTCAGATTGGCTTAAATCAACATTCGTAACTCTGCCAAAGAAACCCAACGCCTCACAATGTGATGACTATCGGATGATAAGCCTTATATCCCATGTCCTCAAAACCTTTCTTAGAATCATCCACACGCGAATCTACAAGAAGTGCGAAAATCAGATGGACAACACCCAGTTTGGCTTCAGAAACGGACTCGGAACGCGTGAAGCACTCTTGCATGCTTCAATGTCTATTTGCATGCTTCATCGACTATCGTAAGGCGTTCGACTGTGTTAATCATCAGAAGATGATCAAAATTCTAAGAACAACCGGAGTTGACGAACAAGACCTAAGTTTCATATCCGAACTTTATTGGCATCAAACGGCGGTAGTTGAGATGAAGCAGTCAACATCGGAAGATATACAAATTAGACTGGGTGTTCGACATGGTTGCGTCTTGTCTCCGCTGCTGTTTAACCTGTATTCGGAGACTATATTTAGAGAAGCACTGGATCGAATCCAGGGCGGAATCAAATTCAATGGAATCCCAATAAACAATATCAGATATGCCGATGATACGGTTATAATAGCCAACGATATAAGCAAGCATTATAGATTCCGTAGTCCACTATAGTGAGATGTTTGGACTGCATCTCAATGTCTCCAAGACCAAACTATTGGTCTTTTCTAAGACTCCAATAAATACACACCTGCGTGTCAAGGGACAAACAATCGAACAAGTGACCTCAATAAAGTATTTAGGAGCTAACATCAATAGTCAGTGCGACCCGAAAAGAGAAATATTTTCAAGAATTGAGCAAGCGAGAAAAATATTCGTGAGAATGAAATAATTTTTTACAAGACGAGACCTCAGTGCGGAACTCAGAACTCGAATGGCCAGATGCTACGTCTTCTCTGTGTTACTCTATGGATGTGAGAGCTGGACACTGAATTCATAGACCGAAAAGAGAATAGAAGCCTTCGAAATGTATGTATACAGACGGATGCTGCGAATCTCATGGGTACAAAGGATCACCAACGATGAAGTACTCCAGCATGAAGAAACAAAAAGACATACTGAACACCGTCAAGGAAAGAAAAATGCAATACCTGGGTCATGTGATGAGAGGTGGTAGATACGAAATACTGCGCCTCATAATAGAGGGCAAAGTGCAAGGGAAAAGATCAGTAGGAAGACGCCAGAACTCATGGCTAAAAGATTTGAGGAGATGGTTTGAACGCTCGTCTGCGCAAATCTTCCGGGCTGCAGTTTACAGAGCCACAATTGTCATTTGGATCGCCAACCTTCGGCAGGAGAGGGCGTGATAAGAAGAAGAAATAATATTCTAAATATTTTTAACTGTAAATTAGAGGAAATTTTTCAAATTGGGCATCATTGTGCATGACAGCGGTCGGCGCTGACAAAATTAAATCATTACAATCAGCGTTACTTCTTTATGCTGTCTCTTTCTTACACATTGACTTTATATAGACAAGTATACCATCCGCTTTATGGGAATATTATATGGGAATTGCGCGATAATGGCAAGTAGTCGAAAACGATTTAAATACTTGTATATCTTAATATTATCTTTTAATAATATAAAAAATATGATTTTGTCTGGGGCCTTTTTGCCTACATTTTATTCACTCAACTCTATCTGTAGCAGTGGTAAGACAACTTAACAATATCTCACTTAAAATCAATTGGTACTTACCGCTGTTAAAAGCACTTTATCATTTTTGTTGGATACCGATAAATTATCGCTGAATTCGACGAGATAAGTGGTACCTTTGTCATTTCCTACCGCTACCAATTTTCCCATTTCGTGAGTTCTGTTGCACCTCAACCTTTCGTCACAAACCTTTACGCTGAGACACGCTTGTTTCTGTTCTTGCAGTACATCCCAAACATCTAATATTCCATCGGATCTAGTTGTAAAGAAAACGGACAATCTGGAAAATACAAACTCAATAAGATAAGGGCTACATAGTTAATATACATACAGTATGTCCGTGGGTTGTTTTAACTGAAAATTAATTGAAAAATAAAAGAAATATAAAATCGTGGTTGATTTTTTCAAGTCCCAAAAATCAGAATGCGTTTCTATGGTATCATCATTTCGTTTTCGTTCTTTTATCGGCGCGGCGCCGGCGCACACAGGGCAAAATGCTATATTTAGCTCGACAAAAATTGAAATTGCAAATATTTTTTTATACATATTTTTATCCATTCACTGTCGTTCTTATAAAATATGTGGACCTAATTTTAAATGTTATATTTTTTTCTGACCAACTATAACGGTGCAAGCGCTACCGAAAGTTGATGGAGTCCGCACTTTCTGGGAAGAGCGTTAGCCTTGCACAAACATGGAGCGCAAAAGAGTGTCATTTACACCCAGCACAGCCATTTGAAAATTAATTACCATTATGGACAATATAGCTACAGACACGTAGTACAATTAAATAACATCAATATAATAAATTTGAATTGTTTTGGATGTATTTCAGATATATTTTAAACACACTATTTTGGGTTTATTTTTTTTTAATAATTTTATTTTCATAATGGGTTATAGTTATGCGTTCCACGGAGTTCCGCTTTTAATTTAATAAAATTAAAATCACTAATGTATGTATGTTGATACAGGTATAAAAAATCAGCTTTCCCAAATTTGCCTTTTTTTTAAATAGCCCGTTATTTGCATGTAGCCGCACTGATTTCTATACCAGTCCTGTAATATCAAGAAAGGATTTTTTAGTTTTAAGAAGACAGATATTCTAAATTATGAATTTCTAAGTTTATTACAAGCTTTTTTTTCATATATTATTGATAGTAGAAAAAATTCAAATGGCTGTACTGGGTGTAAATGACATTCTTTTGCGCTCCGCGAAAGGTGCGAACTACATCAGTTTTCGTTAACGCTTGCACTATTCAAGTTGAATGAAAAATTTTATAATAATATTTAAAATTAGCCCTACAAATGTAATAAGAAAAACGATGTGTGCATAAACATACGAAAAAAAAATTAATTTGGATTTTTGTCAAGCTAAACATGGCATTTTGCTGTGTGTGCGGCGGTTGAAATTTATTCAGTTCAATGTTATGGAGAAGGCGATTCAATATTTTGTGCTTCTTTGTAGTGATCAGCGAAACGGGTCTTGGTATTGTACAAAAAGCAAGACCAAAACTAGCGTTTGATCTGCAAGACCAACCAGTACAAAATTTCCGGAAGACCAAGATCAAGCACGCAAAAACTCTTGTGGCCTTGCATTTTATCACGTTTTTTTTATAAAAGAAATTACTTATTTGTTCTAAATTATTGTTTTAATTCATTATAAATAGTGTTTTCCCGACTATCGCATAAGATTTTCGCCAGACAAATGTTCTAATAAATTGAAAATGTCAAAAGTTGATATATGATATGTCATTCTATACAGACTGTCATTTTCTCTCAAATAAAGTAAAAAAATACCGGGGGTACCATCTAAAAATCAAAAGTTGTAGTCAATTCGGGTGAAGCACGAAGAGACCGAAAGTAATATACGTCAATACGTCAATCAATCCCGATTTATGTCATATTATACAAACATACCAATTTTCGTTTTATTATCTGAAAAAATAAAAAGTTATAGGGATGAGCCACTTTTGAGAAACATCCGGTATATTATAACTATTTAAATGAATAATTAATATCTGTCTATACTTATTGGTTTTCATAAATCAAAACTTGATTTGTACTAAAATAAACTCCTTTCATAAAAAAAGGCTGAGTGCCGAAAATTATGCAAATTTGCAATCCGTCGGTAAGTACCTGAGCCGTCTTTGTTGACAGTATCAATTACTAGTAAATACCTCAATTTAACAACTATCAATGAAAACTTTTAGAATTCGCCTTTTTTGTTACATAGTACCTATTCTCAGGTAATATTATTATTGCTCTTCTGTAGTGAGAATTATCCTATTGTTATTAGACCTTCCAACTTTTTAATTAGGTTTTAAAAGTAATATTAACTAAATAATCTAAATACTATCCTATCCTACCATAAAGATCGTCTTTTTTTCATAAATTTAAATTCAATTATGTCTATCTTTTGAAATACTGTTCCTTAAAAGAGACGAGTATTTATGGTCAATATATAATAAAGTTACATCAGTACACATTTGAATAAAAGTTATTATTTACATATTTCTAAATGAACCATGCGTTCTCTTGTGAGTTTTTTTTTGGATAATTAGGGTATCCACTGACATGTAATTTTTGTGAAAACAATTGAATTCAACAAGTGAAAACGATACACTGTCATGGAGCCAATCAGCCCAATATTTGATTGCATTGCGTAGCCTTAGGCTATACGCTGACAGGCAATGTTTAATCGGTCGATCATTTAATTTCATAATTGTAACACGTCCTTATATGGAGCCGCGCTCACATTCAATCAAATAGTCAGCTAAACGGCTCCATAAGTATGTATTGTTTTCACTTTGCTGACTAAAAATTTCAGGTCAAGGCGTAGGCTTATTGTTTCGAATTTTCCCTTCACAGGTTCCAAACTATTTAAACCCGTAAGTCAGGGAATTCAAAGTGTCTTTGTTTTTCAAATTAATATCAACTTTTGACTCATTTAACCGAATTCGTGTCTCTTGTAGTTTCCGAAATACTAATGTGGAGCATCGAAATTGTCACCGTCCTATATACATATTCATCTAGTAAAATTTAAAAATAACAATTACTATTTTTACGTTATTTATAACAATATTACAATAATGTCTAATAAATCAGCAAAACTTAATCCATCCAATTTCGGAATTTTTACGAAATTCGGCAACACCGAATTAGTATGGCGTAATCTAAGGGCTTAACCAATGAGATTAAAGATGGGGTAGTACCACAGTAGTACTAGTGGGATACCTATAATATAAGACTCCCGACAAGCGCCGGAGGTATTCTCTGTGGGTATTCTTATAACATCTGCCGAAGACGGAAGATCGCTTAGTTTAGTGTGCTTTCCTGGTTTTTGTTTTCTAGTGTACGAAATATTTAGTGTTTTTACAAAGATTAGAAGTGAGTTAAGTTCGATTAAGTGCAACGACAAAAGGAATCCAGGAGTCCCGTAAGATAAATTTATAAACAAGTAAGTCAAAAATTTGTGTACATTTTATTTCTATTTACGCTTTTGGTTAATTATTACTCTTAATTTATAATACAAGTAAAAATAAAAATTAAATACAGGGTAAGTCTAAAATAAGTGCATCTATTTTTAGTGGTAGTATATTTCGATCTCAGTTTGATTTTTCTTGGCGATTATTTTTTGAAAAACTTTTATTTTACTTTTGATACTACGGCAGTCTATGTAGAATATAAAATTTGACTGGAAATACCAAGTGTGTGGTAGCAAATTATTCATAAAAAAATGCTTTATGCAAATATGCTAATGAGCCACCCTCGTTCCATATTATTAGAAATACGATTTGAGCATTTTCTAACTGGCCAGGATAAGACGCTAAAAAAATTAGACGATCAAGTCTATTTTTCCAAGGCTCCTTGATTAATTAGTGTTTTTAACATAGCTATGGCACTCTAGATTGAATTTTAAAATACAATTTTTTATTAAGCGAGAATGTCAAAAATTTTAAAATGATATGTCAAAAGTTGACATATGATATGTCATTCTATTCAGAATGTCATTATGTATCGAATAAAGTAAAAAAATACCGAGAGAAACCAAACCAAAAATCAAAAGTTGTAGTAATTTCCGGTGAAAAAGGAAGTGACCAAAAACAATTGAATACGTCAATCAATCCTAATTTATGTCATATACTAACGTACCAAATCTCGTTTTTTTTATCTAAAAAAATAAAAAAGTTATAGGGGTGAGCCACTTTTAAGACGCACCCGGTATACGGGAGCTATACATATATATATATATATAAAATGCTAATGTTTATCTGTGTCGTCCCTACTGAAGTAACGACTTGCTCTAGAAAGTTGCTTTTTTTACTCAAAGATAGCTAATTGGCTCTTCTAAAAACTGTCGTCGCCGGATTTTTTGTTTTGCATTTAATAAAAAAATAAAGTATCTTTTTTTTCCTGATGTCGTGGCGGATGCGCCAGGCTTCAACTAGGGGTGTCCCAGAAATGAGTGCAGATATTTTAAGGGGTGGTAGATCTGGCCAAAAGAAACATATTTTCTCTTTTCCATTTTTAAAATAAATTGAAAATAACCGAGTTATTTAACTTTGAAAGTTAAAAAAAAATTGCGACATTTTGAGAGCCGCCGGGGGAAATCGGCAATCTCGCGGATCTCGGCTTGTTCGCCGCCCGCTGTTGCCACATCGACTAGAAAGACTTAAAAAGTACTTGCAAAATCCCACACCACCCAAGAGGTTCTGGAGAGGTGCGTTACTTTTTTAAGTGGGTAATCGCCAGTAGCCCTACTTTCCACATTCAATAAACTAAAAGAAAAAAAACTTACCAAACAATAAAAAAGATATCCCTATAGCAGAGAGATACAACTGCAGAGCTTTCTTTTTTTCCATTTTACCACTCTTAAAACTGCACATAACACTACACTTAATAACATCACTTCCTATATTTCCAAAGATGATGTACCACCCGGTATACCCTTCGCTTCTTGACTGCATGCTATTATAATAATTGTTCAAAATAACGACCTCCATTTCCAATACATGCTCTCCTTCTTCTGAGCATGGAATTTTTAACGTTTTGCAGCAATTCTGCGTTGCTTTTCCCGAATCCCTCAAATGCTGAACCATACTTACAAAGGTTCGAGCATTAGGGATTTGCCTATTCAGATAATCTTCGGAATAAAGTCTCCGAGCTTCTACAGCGCTTTCCCCTGCCAGAAAGTACCTATGCTCTTAGCATATCCACCTTCTCCGGATTTGTATACTCCATCGCGATTTGCCTATACCGATACCGATTACCGACACA